GTTCGTAGAATTCCATGAGCTTTTCGCGCTCTTCGAAGCCCCAGAGGAAGGGGTAAGACCACCGACGTCCATGACGTGTGTGAGGATGGCCATGAGATCTTTTAGGTGGGGTAAGATTGATTTAAGACGAGGCGAACACAGGTTATGGCTTACGGTTAAGAATTCGTGTTATTTCCCCAAAAAGAACTCGGATCCATTGGGCACAGGCAGGCACCTCGATGTTCAGAAGCTTTTCTACCGCTAGCGAGTAGCAGAGCTCGTTCGTCACTGTTGTGGGTACAGGTAAGTTGGTGAAAGAAGAGAAGAGGTGATAGCATACTCATTGAAACGTAGTCGAGACGGTCAAAGTAGGGTAGGGCTTGGATGTACGTCTTGTATTCAATAAGTTTCTCTGTACCGCGATGAAGCAGACCAATGTGCTGGAAATGAAGTAAGCCTGGGGGTTCCGAACTAAAAGGTTGCACGTACTGGGTCCGCTCGCAGAATCTCTTCTCCATTGAGTTCCAGAATCATACGCAGCACACCGTGGGCAGCTGGATGCTGAGGACTATCCGCGACGTTTAGTCCTCAACGTCCTTTTTGCAGAATGGATGGCTTACCCGAAGTTAACTACAGCAAACATCAGCAACAATATGAGCAACAAACCCATTACTTACTTGTGAAATGCCTCATTTTCGCATCCTCTTTACTTCCTGGCGTTGGCAAGATTTCCGAAGCGTCCAAATGCTGCAAATCCTCCACGGTATGATAGTCGAAAGCAGTTTTTGCCCCCTCAAGAGACGGTTCAGCAGCCCGCCGAGCAACGGGGGTTGCACATATATTCCTGCGTAAAAGCCGCGACGAAGGCGTCGTCCTCGTCGTTGTTCGCGCCAACGAGCAGTAGCACGGAAGACATTGGTCGCTGTTCAAGGCAACGTCAACGATGTCGATTCCTCGTCGGAGTTGGGCGGGAAGGTGTGACAGGCGTGACAACAACTTGTGTCCCTGCCTAAACATGTCGACGCCCAGTGGCAATTCAAAGTAATGTTGTCAAGAACATGCTACAAGGCGAACCTCGTCATTCTAGGCCTGATTACCATCGCTATAGCTGACGTCGACAAACTGTGCACAATTCACGATGACGGGAAATTCTATGACTTGAATACTTTGAAGGCGAGGTACGCAGGCGGAGTCATGTCTCGTAGTTTTCGTATTCATCGAGGTTCTGTCTAGCAAAGATTATGAGGTCAAGTGGCCGGGGGGAAGAACGTTCGCAATAAATGTCTGCCAGGCTGTAAAGACAGAAACGTTTGGTTTAGTCATGAATTGAAGAAGATTATTCTGCATTACAACCCTTAAGTTCATCCACTAGTGGCTACCACTATTTATGATTAATCTATGACAACTGTCCAAGAGCCATTGTGTATAATGCCACAGGTTTTATGAAAGGCATCTCATTAGGATTGCCCATCTATTTCATTCAATTTGTCACTGGAATCTTTCATAAGTTATAGGCAAGGATAATGAGATATCATGGGGATATTTCATTAGGCTCTTTGGCCCTTTCATTATCATTTCTGAGACTTTTCATTAGGATATTTCATTAGGCTGCTTCGCTTTTTCATTACCATTTCATAGAATTTTCATTAGGATATTTCATTAGGCTCCTTGGCACTTTCATTACCATTTCTTGGAATTTTCATTAGGATATTTCATTAGGCTCCTGCACTTTTTCATTATCATTTCTTAGAAATCTCATTAGGATATTTCATTAGGCTCCTGCGCTTTTTCATTATCATTTCTTAGAATTTTCTTTAGGATATTTCATTAGGCTGCTTCGCGTTTTCATTACCATTTCATAGAATTTTCATTAGGATATTTCATTAGGCTCCTTGGCACTTTCATTACCATTTCTTAGAATTTTCATTAGGATATTTCATTAGGCTCCTGCGCTTTTTCATTATCATTTCTTAGAATTTTCATTAGGATATTTCATTAGGCTCCTGTGCTTTTTCATTACCATTTCATAGAAATTTCATTAGGATATTTCATTAGGCTCCATTGCTTTTTCATTACCATTTCATAGAAATTTCATTAGGATATTTCATTAGGCTCCTGCGCTTTTTCATTATGATTTTTTATATTTCTCATTAGGATATTTCATTAGGCTTCTTGGCACTTTCATTAGGTTTTCTTGGAATTTTCATTGGGATATTTCATTCAGCTCCTTGACCCTTTCATTACCATTTCATTGAATTTTCATTAGAATGCTTCTTGGTGCTTTCATTAGGATATTTCATTCCACTCCTTGACCATTTCATTAGATTTTTCATTGGGAGATTTCATTGGGGCATCTGGCCCTTTCATTACCATTTCTTTTAGGATATTTCATTGAGCACCTTGATGATTTCATCACTTCTCATTAGGCTCCCTGGCACTTTCATTACTATTTCTTAGATTTTTCATTAGGATATTTCATTAGGCCCTTTGGCACTTTCATTACCGAAAACTATATAATAATGATGATATGTATCACATGGGTTGTTGGGAGGGTGGTCACATGACCAATTACCAAAAATAGTCAAAAAGCGAAAGTTGTACCCCTGCACTGTAGCTTCCCGAATCTGGTTGAATTATGTTCTGAAGTGCTCCTGTTGTGGAGATATGAG